TGAATACATAATAATGGTAATAAATATTCATGGTAAACATCATAGGCAGTCTGGATTTGGACGATATTTTTAATACCTAAAAGTTCACTTGCTTTAATTATTCTATTAGTTTAAACCAGGGGTTTTTGCTGGAGAACGCTCACTGTAATGCTTTATTTTTTTATAAAATATGATTTTTTTCAATTAAAAATTTTCTCTAATGTAATTTTTTAAAGCATCAATATTTACTTGTCCACTTTACATTTTTGTTCAGTATATAGAATATTTAGTTAACAATGATATGAGGTGTCTTATGTATTTCTTCAATTTTTCTAAGATATCAAATAGAAATTTTGCTGAGTAAAGTTGTAGTTAGATTTGCAGTTTTGTATATTCAATCTATTAATGTCTCCCCATACGTCAATTTTTTTTGGACAAGTCCAGAATATGTGTTCAATTGTCTCTATTGGGTCCATTCAGAAAGTACATTTATTATTTTGTATAACTTTAATTTTGTAGAGAAACTCATTTGTTCCCAATATTCTGTGAATGATCTTGTATCCTGTATTGGAGCTACTGTAATTATGAGATTTTAGTTGTGTAGAATAGCATTCTATACACTTTATTCCATTTAATATGTTAATTAAGGGTTGAGGACCACTTTTCCTGTGATGTGATATATGGTTTTTTCTATCACTTAGAACATTGTACAATTTTTTGTTTTTGTTCTTTTGTATATTTTAAAGATATTGTAATTATAGTAATTGGTATAATTTGCACATAAAGATTTAAAATCTGAATACATTTGATATTAAGATTTTTCAGATAAGATTTAACTGCTGAAATAATACCCTGGAGTTCTGTCCAAGCATTAACTTCATGCCAAAACGTATTGTTTCCATGTGTATTTGGACCTACATAAAGCGGTTCATTTGATATGATTTTTTTCTGAATAAATCAGTAACTTACAATAATCATTAGCTTGGTAAGTTATTCTTGTTGTCCAAGTTAATTTAAATCTTTTCATATATTGTTTTAAGTTCAACATGTTAAGTCCACCCAATTTATATATTTGAGAAATTGTTTGTCTTTTTGGTTTCGTCATGTTTTCTATCCCAAATAAAAAACAAATGATTAAAAATTGGTGAAGTAATCCATCGTTTGGATTCAGTAATGTAAAGACTAAGTGATTTAGCTTTGTAATTATAAAACTTTTGATTAAAGTTTTTTTTTTTCAATTAGAGATAAGTATTTGTTTGACCAACTCTTTGTTGTTCTGTCAATCTCTTTAAATTTAGGTCCATAATTTAGATTTTCAACTTCTTGTAAATGAATCGAATATTTGATACCTATGAGCGTAAATCTGATGGAATCCTACTCCAATCTCATCTTTACACACATTATTTACATTCGCATTACAATGGAGTTTTGAGGTAGGAGCTGTTTTGTTTTCTTGTCTGTTGCGTTATTCTTACATGCATGGATTCCAGCAAGTCAACATGGATACGACATGTCAACTGTGGATTTGACGTAGATAGTAGCCAACGAAAAATAATGTTTGGGATGAGAATTATTAGATTGAAACACATTTTTCGAGAAGTTATTTAAGAAAAGTTGATCAAGCTATAGACAAAAAATGATAGATTTATGGAAAAAATATAGCTTGATCTTACAAGGGCTGAAATAGAACAGCCATATTCACGGCAAATTTATTCTTCGCTTTAGATTTTTAAATTGCCGTTTTTATCCTATGAGAATAGAAATAATTCATACAAGCCATATATTTGTTATAATTATCACATGGCCTAGGTCATTATATTCTTTAATTTTATCCCTCGCTAACGCGCTGGATAAACTTCAAACTGACCAGGCCATGTGAAAATTTCCAACAAATCTATAGCTTGCATGAATTATTTATTAAGTAAATGGCAAGTCTATCGAACTTAAACAAACTGAAAGGATCAATTTCCACAGTCAATAAAGTTTCAAGACCTAATAAAGAATAGCATTCTTGTTTCTTTTTTTTATTGACCTTTTTTACAATTCAAATCAAAACAAGTATATCTTAATCAAAATGAACTGTGTGTGCAGTCTCTGGTATTTGACAGATAAAACAATTGTGCTCACATAGTCGATTAATGTTTGCCTTTAGAACGCATTTTCCCTATAACATGTATCCGTTGATTAGAATTAAATGATGCATTTTAGCGGTTAATGTCTAGCTTATCAAATTATTTAATTGTGCTAATGCAAGCACTTTTAAGAAAAAAAATATCTAAGCAGTTTGCATAACTGTTTATCAACTTTTGTTTCGAACGGTTATTATGTTTGTCTTTTAAAATAGTGATTCCAAACCCAACCGATTAAAGATATTCTATAAACAAACGTCATGCCGTTGGATATCATACCATACTGTTTAAGCCTTCAATGTTATTTGAAGTTTTTTTTATGAGAGTACAAATATGTCTAGTACGTATGTCAATTTAAAAAAAAATATATATAATCAGTTTCTAAAAAAACATGATTTCCTAGATAAACTGTTGCTGATTACAATGAAGCTATTTGTCCAAGGGTTCTTATTGGTAAAGATGTAGTCATCTTTGTACCATCATTTATAAAATATATGTGTTACAGATGAATACAGATATCAGGTTAGGATCCAGGATTTTGAAAAAGGAAGGGCCCCCTGGCAAGCCAACGTTTGGAGTGATACTTGTAAAAAGTCTATGCATTTATCATGTATGAAGCTCAATAAGTGGTTAGGACCCCTTGTTTTCCTAAATCCACCTCTTGTCATGTTTCAATTGACGTTGCTACAACCCCGTCTTGTTTTCTTCAATTATCACTGAATTAGACTTATCACCGATCTTGTACTTCGCATGGACATGTGAACCAGGATCTGCATATCATTTCGGAGCATCAGATATCAACCCAAGTTGTTCAGTCTATAGTTTTCTAAGTAATTGTTGCTAGACTGTTGTTTGTCCTTTCTCTTTCTCTTTCTCTTTCTTACTTGCAATGGTTCAAGAATTGTTGGATTTTTTCGACCTTTGAATTTAATTTTGATGTTTCTTTTGGTTCCGTATTTCATGTATTTTCAGTCTCTTTTTCTAACACCCGGATGGATTTTTTTTTTTTTTTTTTTTATATATATATATGAAAATATTATCTTTCTCATTTTTCAATGGAATTATACCTTGTATACGATGCTTTTATATATGTTAGAAGGAACTTCAATTTAAACATTTTTATTATGCTTTAATTTTGAAAACTATTTTTTTGGCCAAATAACACAGGTAAATGAATGATAGCAAATATGATAATAAATTTCAGTTTATTCAGTCAGCAAATTTTGAAAATCTTCTGTGATTTTATGATGTTACTGATCGAAAATATATATTATATAGCATACGTGTATCATTCATCAGTTCAATTTTTCGTACCAGCTATCTCAGTGAAGTATTGCTCATAAGCGTGTCACATATTCATACTTTAGTGATTAAAAAAACAAAACAAAGCTTTATTTTAAACAATTCAATTATTTTTTTTTTTCATTTTGAATTGATTTTTGCATTGTGAGGTCTCTTCGGAAGGAGTAATTTTTCCGCAGTCAAATCTTACTTAACATGCTTAAGTTTTAGATAAAAACAACTGATATTAGTCATTATAATTAAATATTGATGCCTGGAATCAGCCATGTCGCAATGATTTTAGATCTTTAATATTTTTCACGAAACGTCATTGCATTTTAGCGCACATACATTCTGCCGAATCATTTACAAAGTTTTTCATCTGTGTGAAAAGTGTCAACATCATAGGAATATCAATATAAAACGTAGAAAAGTAATTAGAAACAAGATTTCATGTGTTTCTGAACAACTTTTAGAGCAACGGAAAACCGGATTTTTTCGGCATTTGATTGATGTCACTAACCTACTTGACAAATAAAAATAGAGTGTCAAAGTTTGTTATGTCATTAACTGTGACGAAAACTGATAAAAAACATATCTTATGACTTCTGTTTAATGTAAAGCAGTACTTGTATAATTTTGGAAGAAAATGTTCCCGTTCTTAAAACTATGAATAAATATTTGAATCATTCATTTGCCTGAATAACCTGACAACAATTCTTTACCGAAAACTGCAAAGACATAAACATGATAAATGCACACTGAGTGCTTCGAAATATCGTCATAATAGTAAAAGTAGACTTTTTTTTGCACAATTCTTTATTGGAAATGTTAAATGGTCATGCAACAATTGCAAATTGATTACCTATTATACAATATTTCCCAGATAACAAAAATCATATTCCATGCATATAATATCAGCTTCCGTTATCAAGTCGTATACCATGCAACTCTGTGAAAGAGGATGATAGATCATGGTTTTATAATACCATGCGTGTAGGTACCGTACTCGATTTTCAGATAAAGTCAGGTTAAAATTTACAGGATTTTATCGTTCTATTTTTTAAGTGTGCGTGTGTGGAGGGAAAAGGGGGGGGGTGCCTTTCTGGCGCCGAATCAAGTTTGACGCACTGCTAGATAATCATTAGGATTGCTTTATTTAGATTTAGATTTATATTTAGAAATTGTATTGAAACTTCCGAACAATAAATTATAAATTAACTGTTTACAAAACTTTGAATTTTTGAAATACTAAGGCTTTTCTACCTCAGGAATAGATTACCTTAGCTGTTTTTGGCAAAACTTTTAGGAATTTTTGGTCCTCAATGCTCTGCAACTTCGTACTTTGTTTGGCCTTTTTAACTTTTTTTTATTCGAGCGTCACTGATGAGTCTTTTGTATACGAAACGCGCGTCTGGCGCAAATACAAAATTTTGATCCTGGTATCTATGACGAGTTTATTTAGATCTTCAAAAAGTCCCTTCATTTTTATTCTAGCCTAATTGTACATTTTCTAAACTGTATTCGCAAGAAATCGACACCACATGCGCTGAGCCTATGTATCATTTTGTGGATTATTTATCATAAACTGAATAAAAATTGAAGGCAAAATCTAAAGCAATGATTTATTAAAGTATATATCAAATATATGAAAACAATAATAATACATTTGTAATTGCACTTTATAAGGTATATAGTATAATAAAAAAAAATATGTTTGGCACATTGCAATATTGATGTTAAAAGCCACACATAAAAATGGACACATATACGTGTGACTTAAACAATTGTAAAAATGTATATCAAAATCAAATTAAAACAAAATATAATTTTAAAATATTTGTTATATAATATTAATAATGCTTCGGCGACCGACAGGTACATGTATTAATTATTTCGTATATGTGTGTGCGTTGAGTTAATACACAATAGCAGTACGTAGTGATTAAAGCTTGATAAACACGTTTAAAAAATATATTCTAGGTCTTCTAGTATATGTGGATATGGATGTGATGTGTACTCATATATAATTATGTCATATATAAATATTCGGGCATTCCCGTTAAAAATTGTCAGGAAATAACTTTAAACGCCAAGAACAGAAAAGAAGTTCAACGTGAGCTATCTTCCAGTAGAACAAATACTCTTTTTCCGCTTTTAATTAACACCGAAAACCTGTTTTATCAACAGGATCTGCTTACCCTTCCCGGAGCACCTGATATCACTCCAATTTTCTGTGGGTTTCTTGTTGCTCAGTCTTTATTGTTTTATGTTGTGTTATGCGTACTGTTAATTATTGATTGTTTTTCACATTGTTGCCATGGCATTGTCATGTTTTTTGTTTGACTTATTATTTTGAATATCACTTTGGTGTCTTTCGCCTCTCTTTTACAGTAACAGATGTGCTAGTGTCTAAATGCATTCTTATTTATTAATAAATCAGAAACATGTTTAGCGTTTTTGTTACATGTATGACATCCTTTTTTTTTTGTTTGAACAAGATAATATAACACAAATATTTGTTCTTCTTTATTTGGATTTTCAGTAGTCTTTGATTACGCCTTTGGTATCATCTTATCATTTATTGTCTATCCAATTACTTTTGTTATGTGTTAAGGTGGTACCTAAAACTACAGGCAGATAACTCTGTAAAAATCAGCTAAACGTTTTAATTACGTTGTATTGTTAAGGAAATATTAAGCTTCTCAATGATTAAAATTAGTGTTTGTCAAACTGCTATATAACCAGTGAAATTTTTCTGATAAAGTGGTTGGTTCAAATTTTTTGAAATTTTTATATATCTGTCAAAGGGTCAAAGTAAACATTTTGTCAAAATTTTATGAAAATTAAACGAGCCAAATTAATATTAGTCAAGTGTTGGGTACACCTTAAGTATCTTACGGTAAGTCCGAAATTACCATCTTTAATGGAAAGTACTGCAACCTTCTATCCCTGCAATATCAATGATCACATTGAGTTGTATGAATTCATTCGTTATTTTGATCATTAGGTATGAGTAGTTCTACAGATTTGTAGGTGTCTGTTGAAGTCATGTACCCATGTTATAATTAAAATCCATGAACTCTCAAGGCAACAAGATTTCATAACATAATGTAAAAAATGATGATGATAGAATTGTGTGCGAAGTTGATATCATGTGTTCCAGAAGGGTACGCGGTTCCTGGTCTAGTAGTACCGCCAGTCTTGTTGTCAATAAGAAGTAAAAAAAATGCCCATTTGACTTCGCGTTCTTTGATCAGTAATATATTAAGAAAGTAAAACGTTTTTAACGGTTGCCACGACAAAGAGGCAATCATAAGCAAAATACAAATATACTTAAAAAGTGAGATATTTGTGTAAGGATTTTATTTTCTCCTATACCAAAATCAAGATACAGTTGTTGGAAGTTTTATACATTTTATACATTATGTATATGAAATATAATTTTGTTAATGTACAAAATGTTTGCATGCATGCAATCATAAGATTTTGATTTGTTAAAAATGTCTTAACTGATGTTCAAAGTAATATAAGACAAAAGATAATATCAAAAAGGGGAAGTCCATAAAAACGTACAAAATGAAATGTTTTTAACCAACGGAACGAGTGAAAAACAACTGTCAAATTCGTGACATGACATGAAATGCTAGTTTTTATAACAGATGTATCAAAATTAGTTATCTAGGTAAATAAGATCTCGTTTTGATAATTGTTCATTCTTTTTATAGCTCATATCTACAATTTTTACAGCAAACCTTCAAGAACTTGTCAATTATCTTCAAGTGTCTATCTTTCATTGAGATGATCTCTAATCAGTTAACCTAAGTTAAGATTGTACTGACTGTGTGTCTCAATAATACTCTAAGCAGATAAGACATTATATTTCTTAAAGTTTACTATGAGCTCTTGTCGTAAACTTTGGTTTCATGATGAATAAAACCCTTCATTATGATGTCCACCTAAGCCAGACATCGTATCACGTGCATTGTCACCAGGATAACAGGCGGGCTGTGTGTTGTTGGATTTACCATACGATATTCTCCACGGATCGACAGGATGACAATATGATGATTTGCCTTCAGATGAATGAGTTTCAATAAAACTGTCTAGGGCAATACCATGATTTGCGTGCCCATCATATCGGTAAACATTTGACTGAAAATAGATAAGTTGGAGAACAATAAAGGTAATAAATATTCAATTTATGACGAAAATAATGTCATGTCGTTGGTTGAAAATATTTTGATGCACATAATTTGAAAAAAAACTATAATCCAAAATGTTTAATTTCGGATATGTCGAATTATAAACAATCGAAAGTTCTTTAATTCAAACTTTGGGACTAACAACAACATGAACAAATGTGCACTTCTTAATTATCACGTTAACTGGATTCATGCAGATGTGTGTACTACTTCCGTGTCAAAGAGTAACTGTCTCATGAGCGTAAACCCAACATATCTTATTATTGCAATTGATATTTCATCTGTTATTAAATGATAAGGGATGTCAGTTGCATTTGATCAGATTTGTTTCGGCTGCTTAACTTTTTTTGTAGTCAATTAGGCTAACATATATATGTACTTGTAAACAAGAAAACCCGTTTAAATTAAATATCGCAATATCTCACACACATGTGAATACTTTTCAGACACAAACAGTAGATCTTTATTACACAGTAACTATTGCTTTTGAATGTTATAAAATATATCGTGCAAAAGATATACAATTTTTATTACCTTGTTTGTTTTATCTTCATTTTCAGATGATTTCTTCAAACGCATACAACAAATAATAATGCAAGTTCCAAAACCTAATATGATAACTCCAGATACTGCACTGATACCAATTATAAGAGACTCTGTAAAAAAAGAAAGATAAGTGAAATGTAATCATAGGATCATATATAATCTTAAAAAAATATATATATTATTGAAACGAGCCTTTGTCACTTAACACTATTAAGATTCGGTGAAATGCAATCATAATATTCAAAATAATCTATTATGGAAACAGTCAAATCTGCACAAATACCAAATATTAAAGGTTGTGTCAATATCATAAATCCATATTAAATGATAATCATAAGATATGTCAACAAAGTATAAGAAGTGCCTATGTGAGCGTAACATATTGACATACATGACAGTATTGTTCGATTTAAGTTCACAACAAGAACGTATATGTCGAGACTTTTTTTAAGATGAAAGGTGTATATGTTTATTGTTAACTGAATGGTTCAATAGACATTGTAGTACTATACATATAGATTCTTTCCAATGTTATCAGAAAAGAATATTCCTTAAACAAAAATATAGAGGCGATTGCATTACCTTATCCACATTAGTAATATCAAATATTTTTGCAAATATGCAAACGCATATTGAATTACAACAAAAAATGTCTCTCACATAAAACAGTCAACAAAATCGTAGCAATTGTTCGTCATTTAAAATATTTCTAAGTCACGACGCCATCGCTGTATTTTCAGATGAATTGAATTTATCCCAATTGCTTGTTCTATCATAACAGATGAAAGAGTTTATATAATGAACAAGATGCATAGTCTTGAGATTGTTTGTTTATCATTCAACTAGATTTTACAACTTAACACAATGAAAGTAAAAACAAATGTAACTTAATTGTTTTATTTATCTTCTTTTTGTCGGAGAATTATGATGCGAAATATATAATGTGCTTACAAACTTACAACAATGGTCAATATTCAGCTATTATGAATTAATCTCATGATTCAACTCTTTTAAGTTATGATTAAACGTTACATGTATTTGGCACATAATGTTTTTCCTCAACAGTAAAAGTTCAACAGAGAGATGAGACATAACTGTCACAAATATACCATATATTCTCAGCCATTAAATTCTGTAAAATAGTTTAAGATAGCTTTTGTTCCAAATCTAAACTAATTCAACTTAAATTAAGTTTTAATATCTTGTCTTAAAGATATCTCAAAATAGTAATAAAAATATCTTTAACATCATACCTAAATTATCCGTTGTCTCTACTGACTGTGTTGTGCTTTGAGTAGTCTCATCTGCTTGTGACGTCATTCCATAAGTTGTTATTGCTAAAACAATGAAAAGTGAATTGTCCTTATAACAGGAATACGATTATCATGCCAAAATTCATATTTTCTACGAATGCAAAATGTAACATCAATTGCATTAATTTCTATCTCTATGCAAATCATTCAATCAGTAAAGAAAATGTTCTGCAAATTGTATACATGACATGTTTGATACAACGATTGATTACAATGTCATAAGATGTTGTCTGTGTTATTAAATGTAGTTTGATCGTATATGACTTACTGGATCATGTAATAGCTACGAAAATGTATTTTTGGATAAAAACTTATTGTTTTGAACTCGATATGATGAGAGTATATTAAACATTTGAATATATAAGTCATTAATCATGTCTCATACACAATCACATGTTATCACATATACACTCTCCCATAGACAAGTTGACCTTGAAGTTAAAGAGGATTTGGCTATTAGTTTAGGGTCTCGATTGGTTATATAGCTTTTTACGTATGTCAGTTATGCACATTATTGGGTTGAAATGTTTTGCTTTGAGTGTTGACGGTGAATATAAATAAAAAAGCGCACCACTCGCATATACTTCATAAAGTGTTATTTCAATATTTTGACTTATTTCAACATGTTCAAGTGAGTAAGTAAACGTTGTTATGATAACAAAACACTCCTGTAACGACGTAAGATTTTTGACCATGTGTGGTCAAACGCATTCAATAAAGAAATTAATTAGAGTAATGATATATATTTCTTTAACTTATGCGCATGCACAGCTTACCTATTATTTCTTCGACAACAATTTTGTCTGTGTTAACCAATTGGATAAGGTCAAACTCGGGTGACGTGTTTGATTTGATATTTTCTACTACTTGTTTTGTAATATTTGTTATAGTTTTTTCAGATTCGGTTGTCCCTGATTTAAGTTCTATTGAATAATCCGCAATAACACTGCCATTACTTGATAAATCATACAAATAATTCAGAAAATTCAAATGTCATTGAACAGTAATGTAAATTGTGGAGAGTTGTCTCATTAGCAATCATACCACATCTTCTTTTTTATAATCAGTTAAAATTGAAATAAACGTTTTTTCACCGAAACTTGTGTTAACTTTACTATAAATGTTGTCATATGTAAATCATGTTATCGCCGCATGAGTAAATAAGTGACGTTGTGATTGGTTTAACTCCCTCATGTGGTGACCCTTTATGGATCTGTAGGGGGTCAGTAGATTTCATACAGGTATCATAACGTCACGTCTACTATCAATGGTGACGTCATCTATCAATGTTGTTGTATTTCATTGTTTATTTTTATACAAAACGTGGCAGGAAAAGTCCCGTGTGCATTAAATTTGTTATACAGTTCACTGCTGACTCCCTGTGCATCCTAAGGATTTTACTATGGTTTCGTAGGGTGTCAATGCCAACCATATAATTTTTTTTTGTTAATTTTATGTTTAACGTTATTTTCGATTGTCCAAAAGATATTGTTGTTATAAACAGTTTTGTTTGATATTTTTGATGCTTTTCTATCGGTTAAGCAAAGATTAATAATTTGGGTTCTGGTAGGCCTCACAACTTATCTCTTAATGATGGCAAAATATAATAGTATGAACAGGAGAAGAGGTTGGGTATATAGATCAGTTAAACAGCAACCCAACAATTAAAAGTCCAAGACATCTAGATGTAAACATACGGTCGCTTACAATAGAACGGTTTTTATTTTAACATATTGTAAATGTAACCATACGTAAATTATTAACAGCACTGGAAAGATACCACTGCTGGTATCATCAACTCAGTTGCCAATTCAGAGCTTCGGTACTGACAGGATTTTTAACAAACTTCACTTAAATTCACCGTAAATGAATTAAGAATTGATTAGGTAATTAAGGTTGCAATTCGTTCAGTTAAAGTTGACCTTAAATGAATATGTTTTGTTGTAGTAATTGATTCTATAGTTGTTAGAGGCTCTTGTGTAGTTACTGATTCTGTATTTGTTAAAGACTTTGTCATAGTAACTGATTCAGTAGTTGCTTCTGGCTTTGTTGTAGTACCTGATTCAGTTGTTGTTAGAGGTTCTTGTGGAGTTACTGATTCTATAGTTGTTGGAGGTTCTGTTGTAGTGACTGATTCTGTAGTTGTTTATGAATGTGTTGTAGTAACTGATTCAGTAATTGTTATTGGCTTTGCTGTAGTAACTGATTCAATTGTTGTTAGAGGTTCTTGTGCAGTTACTAGTTTAGAAGATGTTAGAGGTTTTGTTGTAGTTACTGATTTAGAGGATCTTAGAGGTTATGTTGTAGTTATTGATTTTGTAGTTGTTTCTGGTTGTGTTGTAATAACTGATTTAAGAGTTGTTCGAGATTCTGTTGGAGTACCTGATTCTTTAGTTGTTGAAAGCTCTGTTGTATTAACTGATTCAGGAATCGTAATATGCTCGGTTGTAGTGACTGATTCAGTTGTTGTTAGAGGCTCTGTTGTAGTAACAGCCGTTGTAAATGCTTCTGTTATAGTGATTGATTCTGTAGTTTGTAGAGGCTCTGTTGTAGTAACCGATTCAGTTGTTGTCAGATGCTCTGTTGTAGTAACTGATCCTGTTGTTGTTTGAGGTTCTGTTGTAGCCACTGATTCAGTAGTTGTTAGAGGATCCGTTGAAGTAACTGATTCAGTTAATGTTTGAGGTTCTGTTGTAGTAACTGATACTGTAGTTGTTAGAGGAGTTACTGATTTAGTTGTTGTTTGAGGTTCTGTTGTAGTCACTGATTCAGTAGTTGTGAGATGTTCAGTTGAAGTAATTGATTCAGTTGTTGTTTGCGGTACTGTTGAAGTAACTGATTCAGTTGTTGTTCGAGTTTCTGTTGTTGTAACTGATTCAGTAGTTGTTTTAGGTTCTATTGAAGTAACTGATTCAGTAGTTGTTTTGGAAGTTATTGATTCCGTTGTTGTTTGAGTTTCTGTTGTTGTAACTGATTCAGTAGTTGTCTTAGGTTCTGTTGTAGTAACTGAATCAGTAGTTGTTTGAGGAGTTATTGATTCCGTTGTTGTTTGAGATTCTGTTGTAGTCACTGATTCAGTTGTTGTGAGAGGTTCAGTTGAAGTTACTGATTCAGTTGTTGTTTGTGGTTCTTTTGAAGTAACTGATTCAGTTGTTGTTAGAGTTTCTGTTGTTGTAACTGATTCAGTAGTTGTTGGAGGATCTGTTGTAGCTACCGATTCTGTAGTCTTTAAATACTTAGTTGTAGTAAGTAATTTATTTGTCGTGTGGGCTTCTGTTGTTGCTGCAACACTATTCGTTTCCGGATAACACGATGCACAACATTGTACCGGTACAATTACACAATTCCTAGGGTCATTTGTGTACATTTCCGCACATGTCCAACCGTTGAAAAATATCTGTCCTTGTCTGTCGCCGTATAAACAGTTTTCTAGTTTTTATATAAAATGTAATTATAATTTATGTAAAATTAAACATTCTATAATTATAATTTATGTAAAATTAAACATTCTTTTATGATTGTTTAAGTTTCTTTTTGAATTATTAGTGTTATCATTATCACTACTACACTTCCCCAGTCAAAATATTTAGTCTTTAGTTCATCTTCTGTCTTTATATTTGCAGTGGTATTTTACGTCTTTTTTACTCATAAAGTTGCTTGCTTGTTCAATCATTATCATTATTATTATCTTATTATTGTTATTATTTATGAATATTGATAAACGATTATTTCACATCTTGTTTGATATATAATGATCTACTCGGAACTGTTCAGAAGAAATATATTACGCTAACATCTTATACTAACAAAGTTTGTATAAATGACTGTTCATAACTGTAATTATACATTTTTGAGGATTTCTGTTATTCAAAATGATTTTCATTTTTAAAAAGAGTGACAAAAGAGGAACGAAAATAAACATCCATAGCAATATATGATCTATATTGTATATGGCAATAACATAGGGTAGAGCTAGCGTAAATCTAACATTTACCATTACCAGCTGGTGCTCTGATATCTGGTGTACATACTCCAGAAACACACCACTGTAAAAAAAACATGATTGTTAATTAAATTAAGGTGACCGACAGCAGATGTTCAAATCTTGTAAATTGATTAAGAAGAGACACAATCGGTAAAATTACATATCAGATGTGAACACTGGTATCTAACGATCGAAAAACGCAAAAAACATGTGGCTAGTGAGTAAACTAATGATGAAACAGGAATATATTTGTGGGGGGATTGGCTACGATTTAGACAATACATTAAAATTCCATTCTTTTTATTCCAAATACCAATAGAAGCAAAATTTGGAAAAGTATTTTGTCATTTTGGCTCCAATTTGTCAAGATAAGCTAAAAAATATTGCTGATGTATTTTCACTTTTCAACCTCATTGAACCCGTATCAAATGAATGTGACTTCAATTAAACCACTTCGCTGGAGATTGGTTGCGCATGTAGTAGGTGTGTGTAGCTATTAAAATGAAAAGAATGTCAACATTAAAAGTGAAACAACGATGAACCTTTTCGCTTAAATATTCTTATACAGGTAAAAACGATAGTAAACATATTTTGTTTACCCATAACATGAAATTAAACAGATCTGGAAAATCAAATTGCACGTGTTTGCTATCTTTTAATATTCATATTTATGTTCATATCGGTATATGAGACCGTTGGGAATCTCCTGGAATCATCTCGATGTTTAATTAGATGGAGTCTAAACTAATATACACACAAATTGCTGATACATGTTATAGAGTACATGCATTATTAATTGTTCAGTTTATACTTTTTCTAATTTAGTTACAAATTGAATATCAACATTTGAGTCAAATCTGAACAGGACTTTGACAGATAATGCCTCTTTGATTTACTATAACCAAACTTAAGCAAACAATTTATTTCAATCATTCGTAAAATGCATGCACTTTAGACAATTCAATCGCCAATCGAAACATATGTTTATGAATATATGAATAACGTACGCCAGATAACAGCAGAAAACTTTTTTTTTTCAAGATATGTATATTTGTTTCGAGGTAGGAATTGGAGAAAACATGTAGCTGTATTTCCATACTGCACTGAAGTGTAAATTTGTTTTGTTTTAGTCGATCATTTATCATTTGAACAGTGTTTCGTGACAAAACTGAATGTATTACTTTGAGTTCGTACCAGTGGAGGAGACAGGGGGTGTAGAGAGCGTTGATATGTTTATCACGATGTATATAAATTGTTAGCATAAAATCGTCAAAAAAATTGTCGCCACGCTTTGCTTGGCGCTATTTCTTCAATTATCGGGAATTGTATCCCCCATTTTTCAAAAATCCTGGATCCACCCCTACGTATTTTATGCAAAGCAAATATACTACAGTGTTAATGAAAACAAATGCTGTTATATAAATCTTTAATTGTAAAGTCAAATATTTAGAAAAAAAACAGTCACTAATACATATTTCAGCACTGTCAGTGTGAATGTGAATCCTTTGGAGTAAAATCAAACGTATACCCCTTACTAAAATTGCTTTGTATACTTGTAAAAATTGATATATTATATACCTTTTTATTGCCACACAGAGTGCCTTCTTCTGCAATTGACTTATAACAAGATGTTGCTTCTGGATTAGAGCACCATAGAACATTGCATATTGATTCATAATTACCGCCGTACTGTCCCTAAACAAAGTTTAATCACTTTCATCATTATAGTGCGATATTAATGGTAGATTTTTTTAGAAGTAAATTATGTCAATCTTCCAAATATCTCGTTAAAATTAATCACAAGCATAGCTTCTCATGACTATAATTTATAAAGCTACATCAGAATTATTTCTGACTCCTAATGCTTCTACTAAATATAATGACAACAAGACTGTGTAACCGTTACGGTTATTTTTCTCTGTGTATTTCGGGATTTAAAAAAGAAGGGCCTATATAACATTCCTATTAACTTGAAAAACATAATAGTTTAACATTTTCACGCCAACACGGTTACATTTTTAGATGACACAATATTGTGTGCATATACACGTTATGTATCCACACAAAAGCTTTTGATAAAATCTTATGCACGTTATCAACCCTCGTAACAATAAACTCATAGGTGACTGTAAGAATATGTTTTAATGTGATTTATTGATTTGTTGTTATTTGCTTTTTGTCCAGTATCAAATTGTTCATACATGTTTAGGTTTGGGTGTTGTTTAATATGAATATAAAGCATATTTTTTCTCTTCACAATAATTGGCAAATTTCGCTTACCCTACACATGTATGATCCGATTCCGTTTATTTGAAGACACTGGGCATCGGCGTCATAAACTTGGCCGGCTAATGCCTCGTCATACGGTGCCAGTGCTGTAGGGTCAAAATTGGATCCCAAAGTCTTCAAACAATTCCCGCTTTCTCCTGACCTAAAATGTTAAAAAAGACATAAATTACAAATCAAGAAATATTGTATAGTTGTTTCGTTTAATTCTTTACAAGTCATCTTAATAATTCATACCTTTTTTAAGTCATCCGTACATGTACCTCAATTTTGATTTAGGTTATAGCATATCAGAAACTTACATGCATAATGTTTGACAGCACAGCAAATTTTACGATTCACAAAACAAGTGTTAATATAGAAAGTTTACAGACATAAAAATAATTTCATTATTTTCTCGATGTTTCAGAAAGGATTCGAAAGTGTTAAAAGGTGTAGGCTGTTTTTTTTTTTGTCCTCGCAGTTAAGAATTGTCTTCCCATTATTATACCAGAATTTATTATTTTCCAATGGTGAGCATAAGGCCGCCCTAAATATCATTTTTATGTCATCGAAATCGTGACAGGAACGAGTTAATGACTAGATGGTTCAATCAGTAACATTCTGTGGCAGAAAAGGTGCTGATCCTTATTCAATAGTAGTTTTTGATTGGTTTTGTGGGGGTAAAATACAAAAAAACAACTGTTTAACGCTCCACCACCTCTTTTTTGCGTTTTGTTTTAATACTCACGATTCAAGAGTGTTTATCTGTGATGTGAAATAATCTGTAGAGCACGAAGAAAATGTCCATGGATTCGTTGCTTGAGAGCCTTGTTGAGGTTTACTTGATGAAGCCATTATATATGCATCGTTCGAACTGCACAAGTTTGTAGTGCCATCATGTTGGGCGCTCAGACTGCAATAACAATAAGGATTACAATTCTTTGATTTTGCATCTTTGATTGATTGTTGGTTGCTTTACGTCGCATTAGCACAACAAGGCTATATCGCGGCGATTGCATCTTTGAAGTGGAGACGAAGAATATAATATTCACTGTTACTTCAGACGTTTGAAAGACTCTTTCCATTCAATGCTTTAAAACTGCCACTATGTCGCAACGTGTTTAGAGTATAAAAAGCAATTTAACCTGATGTGTGATGAAATATTCAAATTACCTGTGTCCTAGTTCATGAGCTGCCACAGTAATAATAATGAAATTATATCCATCCTGTACGATAGATTGACTATAAGTACCACAAATTACACCTGTCCAGGCCAGTCCTAAAAAGAGAGTACTGTCGCATAATTTTGCCAGATGCACAAGTCATAACTACTATCAGAAGACCTTGAGTTTATAAAGAAACATGTTCACGGGTAATAACGTCGTCAAGCGAGGATCATTGTATACAGTGATTTTGTTATGGATCAATTCAGCTGGTCACGGTTTGGTTAGGTTACTTACCAGAACGATTACCTCAGTTCTTTTCAAATGAAAAAAAAAAAAGCAAAAAAATGTTTGAATCTAAATTGTTAGTCAAACGATGTACATTGAAATTTTAAGAAATAAACGCATGATAGGCAAAATATCGAAATAAATATGGTTTGGTTAAGCGATTAGCATGGTTTAGTTAAGTGTGTAAAAATTCGTCAATGTTTTGATCAAATTTGTCATGGTTTAGATTCAAATTCGTAAATGTTTGGTTCACCTTGGTATTATTAGTTTGTTTGAAGCCAGCGCTTGTAAAAAAAAAGTAATAATTTACTAAAAGGAAAAGAAAACTTTTTTAACCAAATTTGGCGAGCGTAATAGGCAAACAGTACGTAGGATATATTTACTTTTCATGTGTATCCTACGATAGAATTTATATAGCCAC